AGGCCCTGAGACTAGTTTTTCTATTTTTAGTAGAGATGGGTTCTCTCCCTCTTAGGTTGATCTCGAATTCCCGAGCTCAAGCAATCCACCCATCTCGGCCTTCCAGACGACTACAGGAGTGAGCCACTGTGCTTAGCCCAAGTTTACTTTCTTTTCTGGAAAGTAACTATTTAACGTTGAGATTAAAAAAAAGCAACTGTTATGTTATGTGTCATTTTATTCTACTCAAGCTCTTCCCAGCATGGCACACCTGGTGTGCTGGAAGGGCTGGGTATGACAGTTGGCTGCCATGGCAGTCGGTCATTTGGAACTTTTCAGGTGCCTGACAGGTGTTACATAAGGAATGTAACTCTGTCCCAAATGCCATCTGGCCTTTGCCCTGGGCTGCTGGGAGGTGATTTCTAAATCCTTGAAATGTTGCACCTGACAGAGTATCTTTGTTTCCCTGGGGCCTCTGGGACCAGACATCTTCAGGAGATGGGTAACTTCAAGTAAGTGAGTGCGGGGGTGTGGGTGTGGGGGTGGGAATCTGGGTCATGCAGTTTCACCTAGGCCTGCAGAGGAGCAGAGACAGAAGTCAGTCATATCTGCATGACCAATTCCAATAAAAACTCTCGACACCAAGGGCTTCTCTGGTTGACAATATTTTGTGTATTGCTATAATGTTGTCAGGAAAAGTCAGCTATCTGTGACTCCACTGGGAGGGGACAAACAGAAACTCTGCCCCTAGAGTTATGCTGGGTGCCACTTGGGCACACCTTCCCTCAGCTGACTTGAACCCTGAGCCCTGCACTGGAAAGCAGAGAATAACGGTTTCAGTGAATTCTGGAATCCTAGAGAATTATTGAACTCCTGAGTGGTGCTGTGGACTGTTCCCAAACCCTACAACAGGTTGTAACACCTTAAGTTTTCCCTGGTTTTAGATTTATTTAAGATGAATGGATGTCAGATATATCCACTGAATCTGCTGAATGAGGTAGCTCTCTGACCACAGAAACGTGACCTTCTTTCCTGAGTCGATGTGCTCCATGTGATCTTTTCCCAAGTGACCACCAACAAACTACATTACAGTGAGTGGATGCACCCACTCCAATTGTCAGTAAAACATTTCTCCATGCTAGCACTCAGGAGGCTTTCTTAGATAATCATTTGTTGGCCCAATACAGTTACTCCCAGTCTAATGGGCTGCACCCAAGTCTGCTGAGTCCATCTAGTCTTGGAGAACACGATGTGAGGTGTGTTTATTTTTATTTTTTAGTCAGAGTCTCAAGCTGTTGCCCTGATAGAGTGCCATGGTGTCATACCTCACAAGCAACCTCCAACTCTTGGGCTCAAGCAATCCTCTTGCCTCAGTTTTTCTATTTTTAGTAGAGACGGGGTCTCGCTTTTGCTCAGGCTGATCTTGAACTTGTGAGCTTAAGCTATCTACCCGCCTCAATTTCCTACAGTGCTAGGATTATAGGTGTGAGCCACCAATCCTGACCAAGGTGTGTTTATTATTAATTTTTTTTTTTTTTTTGCAGTTTTTGGCTGGGGCTGGGTTTGAACCTGCCACCTCTGGCATATGGGGCTGGTGCCCTACTCCTCTGAGCCACAGGCACCACCCCAAGTTTTTTCACTTTTTCTAGAGACAGGGTCTTGCTGTATTGTCCAGGCTGGTCTTGAACTTTTAGTCACAGGCAATTCTCCTGCCTCAACCTGAAGCGCTAGAATTACAGGTGAGCCACCATGCTTGGCCTTTTTGCTTTTATTTAAAAAGTTTTTAACTGCATTATAATGCAATATAGGACAGCACATGTATTTCAAGCGTGTACACCTTGGTGGATGTTATCATGCACACATTCAGCTCTGCACATAGAAGAGGAGGCCCCAGGAAAACTTGCCTCTAAGTTCCTGCCTAACGTAACCACCAATCATCACCGTGGATCAGATTTTGTGTTATTTTTTTTTTTAGATAAGAGTCTCACTTTGTTGCCCTTGGTAGAGTGCCCTGGTGTCAAAGTTCACGCAACCTCAAATTTCTGGGCTCAAGAGATCCTCTTCCCTCAGCCTCCCAAGTAGTTGGGAATATAAGCGCCCACCACAATGCCCAGCTATTTTTACAGACAGGGTCTCAGCTCTAGCTCAGGCTGGTCTTGAACTCGTGAGCTTAAGTGATCCACCACCTGGGACTTCCAGAGTGCTAGAATTACAGGCATAAGCCCCTGCACCCAGTCTGTGGATCAGCTTTTAAATTGCATATAGTAGGTACCCTTAAATGCCTGGCTTCCTTCATTCACAATATAAGACCTTCCCAGGTAGCAGTTGTATATCTGTTTGTATGGCTATTAGTATTTCCCTTGTATGATCAGGCCACTGTTAGTCCATTCCCCTATAGACAGACATTGGGACTGATTCCTGTATTTGGATATTATGACCAAAACTGCTGTAGGTGTGTTTGTACATATGGACACATACACTGAGCTCTCCTGGGTACACAAGGACCACAGTTGCCTGGTCAGAGGGTATACATGGGTTGAGATGCAGAAGGTACTGCCAAAGAGCTACACACTCATATAAGCAGGGTGTGAGGTCTGAGGAATCCACGTCCTTGCCAATACTTAATGGCATTTTGGCCACCCTGTTTAATGGGTAGACCCCTTTCACTGTGATTTTAATGTCTATTTCCTTGAATTTAAAAGCTGACCCTGAGCATCTTTTCCCATGCTGATTAGTCACTGGGTGTGTTCTTTTTTTTTTTTTTTTTTTTTTTTTTTGAGACAGAGCCTCAAGCTGTCCCCCTGGGTAGAGTGCCGTGGCATTACAGCTCACAGCAACCTCCAACTCCTGGGCTCAAGCGAGTCTCCTGCCTCCGCCTCCCAAGTAGCTGGGACCACAGGCGCCCGCCACAACGCCCGGCCATTTTTTGGTTGCAGCCGTCATTGTTGTTTGGCGGGTCCGGGCTGGGGATTCGAACCCGCCACCTTAGGTGTACGTGGCTGGCGCCTTAGCCGGTTGAGCTATAGGCGCCGAGCCTGTGTTCTTTTTTTTTTTAGAGCTAGAGTTTTACTTTGTTGCCCTCGGTAGAGTGCCATAGTGTCATAGCTCACAGCTACCTCCAACTCCTGGGCTTAGGCGATTCTCTTGCCTCAGCCTCCTGAGTAGCTGGAACTAGAGGTACCCACCAAAATTCTCAGCTAAGTTTTCTATTTTTATTTTATTTTACCTACCACAACACCCAGCTACTTTTTTGTTGCAGTTTGGACGGGGCCGGGTTCGAACTTGCCACCCTCGGTATATGGGACTAGCGCCCTATCCACTGAGCCACAGGTACTGCCTTCACTGGGTGTGTTCTTTAAGGAGGTACCTGTCCCTGCTTTTGTCCATCTTTTTTTTTTTGAGACAGCAACCTCAAACTCTTAGGGTCAGGTGATCCCCTTGCCTCAGCCTCCTGAGCAGCTGGGACTAGAGGTACCCACCAAAATTCTCAGCTAAGTTTTCTATTTTTATTTTATTTTACTTATTTATTTTTTAATTAGAGACAGAGTCTCACTTTGTCGCCCTCATAGAGTGCTCTGGCGTCATAGCTCACAGCAACCTCCAGCTTACACCTGGCTATTTTTTTGTTGCAGTTTGGCAGGGCTGGGTAACTGGCCACCCTTGGTATACAGGTATAATCTTAGCACCCTACGAGGTTGAGGTGGATGGATTGCCAGAGATATTACCTATGGTGCCAGCCCCATATACCCAGGGTGGTGGGTTCAAACCTGGTCCCAACAAAACTGCAACAAAAAAATAGCCAGGCATTGGCGGGCACCTGTAGTCCCAGCTGCTTGGGGGACGGAGGCAGGAGAATCACCTAAGCCCAAGAGCTGGAGGTTGCTGTGAGCTGTGACGCCACGGCACTCTACCAAGGGCGACAAAGAGAGACTCTGTCTCTAAAAAAAAAAAAAAAAAAAAAAGTATTCCATATTGAAGTCCTCCACTTATTTTCCTCTTTGTGGATTTTGCCTCAGAGGCAATGTTTGCAAATTGATGTCAATATTTTTTTCTCAATGCTGACACACATCACATTTTCAGATCTAGAGTACATCTCCTTTTATTTCAACATATTTCTTTTTTAATAATGTAAGGGCAATCTGTACCCATTAGTCTGGACACTACAACTGTCACCACCCACTGAAGTTTAACGCTTAGTAAGATTCTTCCAAACTGATGCATGAGTGCTCACATTACAGCACCTTTCCTTCCAACAGATAAAATCTCCCATGTTTTTCCTCACGACCAACTGCATAAACCACCAGCCCCTTACAGGGAAAGTCACGTTGGCTGGTGGGTCCCAGAACATGGAATCCTACACTGAGGGGCAGAAGAGCCAGTGAGTCCCGGGGGAGCAGGTCTTGTACCCATGGCCATTTCCACCTCTATACAACCTGCCCTGGGCTGGCAGAAAACACACATATCCCATTGGAGAGCCAGCATGAACCATTACTTTCTTCTACTCTTTACTGAAGTGGGATGCACAAATGGATGTTCTGATCTATTTCTCTGGGCTGTAGCCACAGCTGAAGTCTCGTGCTGACTTGTATTTGGCATGTGCCTAAGACGACAGGACCCCAGAGCCTGGCACAGAGCCCAAAAGAGAGCAAGTGCAGCCTGCCTTCTCAACACATGGCTGACCCGAAATAGCACAGGAAGAGAGGGGGCACGAGGTTAGGAGTGGACTGCCTCTCATTCTGCTCCAGACATGCAACTTCCTTGTTCTGTTCTTCTTGGCCATGTGATCGATGCCCCCACTGTCCCAGAACCTGCGGGGCACAGTGCTGGAGCACTGTCACCTAGAATATCGCTTCCTCGGGGCCCCTCGCTAGCATCACCTTCCCTGAGACCCACACTCCTGCTTCTCTTGGTAGGGAAACACCGAAACTCAATCACGTCTATGAAGGACTGAAGATGGACGGCCAGAGCCCAGAAACCCGGAAGGCCCTTCCAAGACTCAGCCACCCACCTCCTCTGCTTACCTGTCCTTGTACTTGATCACTGCATCCACGATCTTCTTCATCTTCTTAGTGAGGTTAGGCGGGTTTGGGGAGAGCTTCTCGGCAGGTGGCCGCCCACGCTTCTTTTGCTTCTTGCTCTCATCATCTTTGTCGCGGCTTCGGGTGCTGGTGGTTGGCGTGGAGGACCCGGCGTCACTGTCCCGTTTGCGCTTCCGTGAGGATTTCTTCTGCCGGACCTCCTCTTCGATCTCCTCCAGCGTGCCCTCCTCAATGGCCTTCAGGGTCAATAGTAGTAAAATAGGACAGCCAGCACCCAGGTCGACAAGCAGAGGCCACAACACAAACCCAGGGGCCCAGCTAGGGCAAGGAGGAGGGCCCTGGCCCTGGGTGTCCTTCCAGTGTGGCTGGCTCAGGGCACAATACACATATGAGGGCTCTCGAGGGTTCTCTGGGCTATAGCGAAAGGCCAGTGCTGCCCCGAGCAGGCACCCTACCCACCCAGGCCTGCACTTAAAAACTGAATGGTTGTACTTTTTTTTTTTTTGAGACAGAGTCCCACTGCATTGCCTTCGATAGAGTGCTATGCCGTCACAGCTCACAGCAACCTCAAATTTTTGGGCTTAAGTGATTCTCTTGCCTCAGCCTCCCAAGTAGCTGGGACTATAGGCGCCCACCACAATGCCCAGCTATTTTTTGGTTGTAGTTGCCATTGTTGTTTGGCAGGGCTGAGCTGGATTCGAACCTGCCAGTTCCAGTGTACGTGGCTGGCACCTTACTCACTGAGGTATAGTCATCGAGCCAAATGGTTACACTTTTTGACATATTAAATAAAGGTGGATCCTACAGAGACATCTGTCTGAAGGTGACACCATTATGCTTCTGCTCCAGACTCTCTACAAATATATTTTTTCAGATTTAAAACAAAAATTGTGTTTTTAAGAGACAAAGTCTTACTATGTTGCCCAGGCCAGACTTGAACTCCTGGGCTTATAAGTGATCTTCCTGCCTCAGCCTCCCTAACAGCCAGGTTTGTTCTTTTTTAAACTGCCTGGCAGCAATAACCCATAGATATGGTGACAAACATGTCATGTGCCAGGAAGGAGAGCGAGGAGGATTCTGAGGACGGTAGAGCACACCTGTCATGGTCAGGTGATGGAGAGAGCCTCCCAGGGGATATGGAAGCTCCAAGCTGGGGTAGTGCAGGGGAAGAGGCATTCAGGCCAAACGAAAAGCAAAGAAGGTGCACAGCAAACAAGAGAGGCTGAGAAGGCCCCACTACATAGCCAGGGGAGGAGTAGGTTTATCAGGAATACTAAGTTCATGTCCACCTATCACTTCAAAATGTGACCCTACTTGCAAACAGAGTCTTTGCAGATATAGTTAGGTAAGGATTGAGATGTTATCATCCTATGTCAGGGTGGGCCCTAAATCCAATGAGTGTGTGTTGATAGGAGACAGAAAGGGAAGCCCAGAGAGACACAGAAGAGGAGGCCATGTGAAGACAGAGGCAAAGATAAAAGTAATGGTGCCACAAGCCAAGAGATGCCAATGTCACCAGAAGTGGAAAAGGCAAGGGAGGATATTTCCCATGGACCTTCCAAAGTAACATGGCCCTCCTGGCGAATCAATTTCAGACTTCTGCTTTTAAAACAGTGACAAAATATATTTCTCTTATCTTAAGCTGCCACAGTCATGGTTTATTACGGCAGACCTAGAAAAAGAATACAGACAGCCCCGCAGGCCGAGGACCAGGAGCATGTGAAGGCACCGGAGTGACTGCTTAACAAGTGGTAACAATCATGTGCCAACCAATATTATGAGAGAATGCCTATTTTGTATTTTTTTAAAACCATGGATTTGAATATAACATAGAAGATGTGCTCAATGGGATAACAGCAGTCTCTAACAAAGAATAAAGTCAGAGTCCTACCTCACACTACATCTAAAATGTAACTTAAAATGGATCTTACGTGAATCTATGTGCAAGAGATAAAACTATACAATACTGAGAAGAAAACATACAGGTAAATCTTTGTGACATTTGGTTTGGCAATGGTTTCTTAGATAAGACACCAAAGCACAAGTAAAAAAGAAAAACAGATAAAGAATAAGTACAATTAGGGTGGTACCTGCGGCTCAGTGAGTGGGCGCCGGCCCTATATACGGAGGGTGGCAGGTTCGAACCTGGCCCCAACCAAACTGCAACAAAAAATAGCGGGGTGTTGTGGCAGGCGCCTGTAGTCCCAGCTATTTGGGTACAATTAGAAACTGTGTGTGTTAAAGGAGCTCACCAAGAAAGTGAAAGGAGAACCCAAAGAATGGGACAAAATATTTACTACTCAGGAACTTGTAAGGAACTCTTATAATTCAGTTAAGTACAGCTCAGCACTCATACAAAGTGGTTACAGCCCCAGCCACATGCACCGAGGCTGGTGGGTTTAAACCCAGCCCAGGCCAGCTAAACAACAATGACAACTGCAACAAAAAAATAGCTGGGCATTGTGGTGGGTGCCTGTAGTCCCAGCTACTTGGGAGGCTAAGGCAAGAGAATCACTTAAGCTCAAGAGTTGGAGGTTGCCGAGAGCTATGATGCCACAGCACTCTACCCAGGGTGACATAGTGACTCAGTCTCCAAAAAAAATAAAAATAAAAATAAATAAAATGAAATGGGCAAAGGACATGAATGGACATTTCTCGATAGAAGATATTTAAATAGCCAAGAAGCACATGAAAAGATACTCAATGCCATCAGGGAAATGCAACTCAAAACCACCATGAGATGTACTTCATGCCCATGAGGATGGATGAGAAACCAACACATGGTGGTGAGGATGTGAAGAAACTGGAGCTCTCACACACTGTTGGCGGGAATGTCAAATGGTGCAGCCACCAGAGGAAGCAGTCTTTCCTCACATGGTTAAATACAGAACTACCATTTGAGGCCAGGTGCAGTAAGTGATGCACCCCTGTCGATTATTTGAGTTCAAGAGTTGGAGACCAGCCTGAAGAAGAGCAAAACCACCATTTCTATTAAAATTAGAAAAAATTAGCCAGGCCTGGTGGCAGGCACCTGTAGTCCCAGCTACTTTGGATGCTGAGCCAGGAGGACTGCTTGAGTCCAAGAGTTTGAAGTTGCTGTGAGCTATGCTAATACCACAGCACTCTACCCAGGGTGACTGAGTGAGACTCTTATCTCCAAAAAAAAAAAAAAAAAGAAAGAAAGAAAAAGAAAAGAACTATCATTTAGTCTAGCAATTTCATTAAAAAGAAATCAGAATATACATCTACACACACACACAAAAATACATGAACATTCATAGTAGTAGTCATAATATCCCAGAAGTGGAAAGAACCCAAATGTCGGCTCGGTGCCTGTGGCTCAAGTGGCTAAGGCGCCAGCCATGTACACCCAAGGTGGCGGGTTTGAATCCAGCCAGGGGGCTCGGCGCCTACAGCTCAACCGGCTAAGGCGCCAGCCACGTACACCTAAGGTGGCGGGTTC